ACTAATGTGCGTGGGAAAGCAGCAGAAGATGGCCCAAGTGCTCGGGCCCTTGCACCCACATGAGAGACCTGGAAGAAGCTCCTGGCTCCTGGCTTTGTACTGGCCCAGCTCTGGCCATTTTGGCCATTTGGGGAGTGAACCAGCGAACGGAAGATCCCTCTCTCTCTGTCTCTCCTTCTCTCTCTATAACTCTTCCTTTAAAATAAATAAATAAATTCTTAAAAAAGGGAAAATGTCACTGAAGTATTTCATTAAAAAAAAAACTTACCATTTTTTAAAACAAAACCATTAAACAGTACCATAAGAATTTTAGCACCTCTCAGAGGTTTATATTTAGATGTACCTGGGCTTAGCTAGGGAACAGCTGGTGGAGAAACAGCTAGTGCCCGCATTCAGGCTGTGGCAGGCTCCCGAGATGTGTAGGACAAGGCTGCTAAGAGTTCCCTGGCTCCCACAGAGGAGCAGGCCAACAGGCAAACCATGTGAGGGCAGCGGCAAGCCGGGCCAGGGCCGCTGGGAGAGCACTGCTTACAGCTGATGCTGTTTAGCCAAAGGGAGAAAGCAAAGAAGTAACCCACGATTCTGAGCTGCACCCACTGTAAAATACCACACTAGACTGTGTGCACACCACACAGAAGTCAATTTGCCCGTGCCCTGAGTGAGGCAGGAGTCACTGAACAGCTAAAATGTTTCTGTGCAGGGATAATACACCCCCAAAACCCTGGGATGCAATCCTGTCACCCTGTCGACTCCAGTCCTCCTCTTAACCTTCTCAGCTGCAACTCCAGCAAACAACGATGGGCCTGTGGTTTCATCCCAGTGAGAAGAAAGGTGAACTCTGTGAAAACACAGAACGCTTCTATCGTTGGCTCTGTCGTCTCCCAGAACAAAGTCAGTAAACACAGCAGTAGGTCATCACTGGCCATCTTATATATGGGCCTTCTGAACGCTACAAGACCATTACTGGATTAAGAATCAGAGGACTTGCTGCTAAAACTCACTGTACTACTCTGGACAATAATTATCATGGATAATCTTCAGGTCTGAGTTTGAGCAGTGACAATGACTATGACTGCAACAAGAATGAACATCCACCTGTTTCCCATGCAGTAACAAATCTACTCTCTAGATAACCCCATGAGGTACGGTTACCACCTTTACAGATGCAGAGAACGAGGCCTAGAGAGACTTAGGAGCCTGCCCAAGATGAAAGAGCTCGTGAGTGCCTTTAAAATGAGGTGGGATCGAATGATTAACAAAGTCCATGCAACTGGAATGTCCTCTGTGGTTCCACTTGAGAGGAAAACGAACAAGTGTCAAAACTGCTTATAGGGTTTTTTAAGATGTTATTCATCTCAGAATTACACTAACGTTAAGAAATTTGATGCTAACTTAAGAATTACTTCTTGGCCAGTGCTGTGGTGCAGTGGGTTAATGCCCTGGCCTGAGGTGCCGGCATCCCATACGAATGCTGGTTCGAGACCCGGCTGCTCCTCTTCCGATCCAGCTCTCTGCTATGGCCAGGGAAAGCAGTAGAAGATGGCCCAAGTCCTTGGGCCCCTGCAACCTCATGGGAGACCTTGAAGAAGCTCCTGGCTCCTGGCTTCGGATTGGTGCAGCTCCAGCCATTGCGGCCAATTGGGGAGTGAACCATCGGATGGAAGATCTCTCTCTCTCTCTCTCTCTCTCTCTCTCTCTGCCTCTCCTCTCTCTGTGTAACTCTTTCAAAAAAATAAATAAATCTTAAAAAAAAAAGAATTTACTTCTTAACTTTTTTTGGATGGCGACAGAAAGGTAGATTGTTTGTTGCTCCTCCCTAACCGGCCCCCCACCCCCGTCACAGCATTTCATTGACTGTTTATCAAGCTCTGTGCAGGAGACAGCTTCAGAAGTTTACTTGGAATAGTACAGTGAAATGAAGGCAGATCTGGATGTGCACTTCGGACATAGTTTATAAAGCAAACTTTGCTTTAAATGACCTTTCCAAGCACATGGAAAGCCTCTATTAAGAAAGTTAGCAGTGAGAAACTCCACTAAAGTTCACGTGGTCACTAGGAAGGACGGCATCACTTGTGGTGGCACACACCACCCACGGCCAGCTTCCATCCTGCGCACACACCCAAGCACTGGCCTCTGAGACGGGCAGTCTGTCGGGCAACCCCCTCTAATGGCTTATCACGCATGCAATGTGTGCTCGTAGGTCAGGCTGTGTGTTCAGTGTTGTGTCAAGATCCAAACCACAATGACGAAATGTTAGAAACACCCATTTGGAAAGATAAGCACACACAGGATCCAATTAAGAATTAAAGAATGAGCTCTTCTAAATCAAAATGTTGTACATGGAACGCTCCAATATGCAGGTGCTCAAAACCACCTCGATTCCAAAAGTGACCTAAGGAATTCTACAGCACAGGGTAGGGAATGGCTTTAAAAAAAAAAAAAAAAAAGGAGGTAAATCCAGGTTTCATGGACTACTATAAGGACAAATATTTTTCAAAGAAAGGTAACATCAAGCTGCCTTCATTAAAATAGAATCAGAGAGGCGGGCATTGCGTCATAGTGGGTGAAGCCGCTGTTTGTGATGCCTGGATCCCATACTGGAGTGCTGGTTAAAGTCCTGGCTACTTCACGTCCGGTCCACATTTCTGCTAATGATAGCCCAGGTACTTAGGTTCCTGCCACCCTCATGGGAAATGCATACGGAATTCCTGGTGCTTGGCTTTAGCCTGGCCCAGCCCTGGCCATTGCAGGCACTGGGGGAGTGAACTAGTCGACACAAGATGTCTCTCTCTCTCTCTCTCTCTCTCTGTCTTTCCCACTGTTGCTCTGCCTTTCAAATAAATATATAAACTTTAAAAAATGTATTTACAAATAGCCATATTTGTGATAATTATGGATGAACTACAGAAACATAACAAGTTGTAGCAGATTACATATAGTACAACTGTGGTGACTGTATATCTGCCCAGGATGTTCCTGACCCACACCTGTTTTCTGGAGTAGTAATTAATAGCACCCCTTTACATGCCCAAAGTATCTTAGCTTAGATGACAAATTACAAAATCATGCGAAAAATGATACATTTCTATAAGTCTAAGAACCAAATAAAACTAAAGTCATGTACTGTACAAATGTCAATAATAAAATTCCTTCCAAGAAAAAGACACAGGGAGGGTGTCTGGAGGAGCAGGACCTCATCTGTGACACCTGCATCCTATATCAGAGGGCCTGGATTCAAATTCTGTGCCTGCTCCGGATTCCAGCTTCCTGGAATATCCCAGGAGGCAGCGGGTGATGGCTCAAGCACTGGCGTCCTTGTCACTCACTTGGGGGGTCCAGGTTGAAGTTTCTGGCTCCTGCCTTGGCCCTGGCCCAGCCCTGCTGTTGCAGAAATTTGGGGAATGAACCAAATAGATAGGTTTCTGTCTGCCTGTCTCTCAAATAAGTAAAATACATAAACAAACAAACAAAAGGAAACAAGAAAAACCCCTATGGAAACGTAAAAGATCGAAAAATAATAAAAAATAAGAAGACTGCAAGGGTGCTTGCAGCAGGGGGCAGCCCAGTGCTCGGGCGGGAAGGGAGAGGCGCGGGTCACTCTGTGTTCCCACGCTGGACGGCGGGCTCATGCGTCACATGGCCGTTACTCTCCACAATGGGCATGTCACATGTTCTCTGTGTGCGTGTGTGCGCGAGTACACACAGGCACATCCCACTGGCAGGAGTTAGAGTGGGAAAATGTTAGGTAGGTGAGGAATGTGAAGGATCTCACCCTTAATGCAAAGGGCTTCAACCAGCTCTGGGGCCAACGCCGACGCAAATGGCCAGGTGGCCAGTTTATGGTGACCACATGTCTGTGGCCAGTTTCTGGAGAATGGTGAAGATAAACTACTCCCCTGATGTGTCCCGAGATAAAGCTCTTTGCTCAATCTGTGGAAAATCTTCTGATGCTTTCTATGCATAAACCCTACTACCCGACTGTAGTGGAGCTGTTTCCCTTCCTGGATAGCGGGAGTTTCTGCCTCTCTGTTCTCTCAATAAAACGTGCTAAAATCACCTTCTCGTTTGTTCATCAGCCTCATACTTAGTCATGGACAGGACAAGTTCCTGGGGTTCAGATCAGCTGCAACACCATAATTACCATTTCAAAAATATATAAATAAAAGCAGTAAAATGATGAAAAGAGGCAAGGTACCACCCAGGATTCCGAGGGGGTGGAACGAATGGTCCTGAGATTCATTGGCAGTTCAGCATCTATTCAACAGGTCAGTGGAAAGGACTTTCTGGCAGCCACCTGTAATACTGCAGCAAAAGTAATGCAAATAAACAAAACAAACAAACAAAAAACAACAACAACAAAAACAAACAAACAAAGAAAAAAACTAAAAAAACCCCAGCTAGCTTGGTGACAAAGGAGAGCTGGCTGCCTCATAGGTTTGAATGATTAAAATTTGATGTAAGACACTGGACGAGGAAAAAGCAGTTGACAAGTAAGTAACAAATAAATAATCCCAAGAACGTAGTAAAGGAAGCAGCAGATAGAGAAGACACGTGAAGACTGAAGTAACTGCACACGACCCAGAGTTAACAGAACACAAATCCTTGTATCAGAAAGAAGGCACAGGCGTGCCGACGGTGCCCCGGCGCTAACTGGCGTCTGAATGTGTGCACACAGAAGTACTTCAGGGAGTACCTGCTGTGGCAAGCACTCAACAGAACCAGGCACAGTGAGGCCAATCTGTCAGCCTCTTAAAACGAAAGATCTCACTGAACAGAATCATTCCAAAACCGCCAACCAGCAGCTGTGTTCCTGGAGTACGGCGAGGGCGCCGACTGAACCTATCCGAGCAGTCGGTCACTTTACTGAGCAGGTGGCTGCATGCATTCGAGTATCTTTAGGAAATGGGCTCTCACGCTTTGGTGAGACTCCAGTTAGATTGCTATGTACATCAGATCTGTCTTCCTCGGAGGACAAGGGCTGTTACTAACAAAGAGAGTACCTGGAATACTCGCAGGGGAAATTGGGCCAGATCGCGACTGGTTACTCCCAACAGGAGAGCCCACAGGCGAAGGCGACGGGCCCCCGGGGATGCTGGAGAGGTGGGGGGACGCGTGCGGAGAGAAAGGTGACTGGGCCGGGTTGCTCTGGTCCCCTTGGCTGCTCGTGGACCCCGAGGCACTGACCGCTGAGCTCAGGGTTGCTTCCGTTCCCGTGGGGAGGTCATCGATGGAGCCAGACAGGTCCTGAGAGAGAACGAAAGGAAATGCAGTTACCGAGAGAGAAACATTCGGGCGAGACCTCACTGAGAGATGACCTAACAAGCCTGGGGACGCCCCCCCCCCAGGTGAAGGTCCTCTGGGTAACATTCAAACTCAGAGGCTGGTCACTGTTAATGAGCTCGCTCACCGGTTGACCCTGGGTTCCAGGCTGACTCCTCAAAAAGAAGTTGAGCCGGACGGGTTCTCGCTCATCGGCGCCTACTCAAGGCGCCCCGAGCAGGAGAGCGGCCCCCGGGACTCGCCGCAGTCCTCGGGCCTGGGCCCCGTCCGTCCTCAAGACTCCAGCCATGGAGGAGTCCAGGGCGCTCTCACGGGACAGCAGGTAACTTGTTACCACACTTATTATTTATTGGTGGGGAGGAATTCTTACATTTTTAAAGTAACTCCAAAGTGCCATCATAATAAAACAGTATTTTCTATGATACTGTGAAAATAAACCCCTTTGGGTGCAACGTTATGCGGGCAAAAGAGTCCTACCACTCTACTTTTTATAACAACAGCATGCTGTTCACCGTCACCCCACTTGGTCGTGACGTCCCTGAGGAGCAAACCGAAGCCCGGGAGCCACAGGCACAGGGGAAGGGGACAGCACTGAGCACCAGACGACCTGCAGCTGCTGAAGACGACAACGGCAAGATGAGGTCTGAGACTTTATTTTGGTGGTTCCTGCTGTGCCCTTGACCGAGGCTGGGGCGCACAGAACCAGGACGTGAGGCCCGAGCTCACCACGCCTGCAGAACCCAGCTGGACCGAAGGCTGGCTATCTGATCCACCTTAAAAGCGGAGTCCCCATATTGAAGGCATTTGTCCCGGTCATCCAGGACCAAATACTGGACATGGAATCCGAAACACCTGACTATGCTCCCATCTTACAGCCCAACAGACGTCCTCCAGGCAGCGAGTTCCGATGCGGTTCGAGTGTACCTCACTGCTGACTACTGGGACTTCTGGAAGTAGATGGTAGATGAAGAGTTTCACAAACTCGAAAGCAATCTCCACCAGCAAGGACACAACGGGCACAGAAGAGCAGAGCTGGCCAGAGCTCTTCACACACAGACTCAGGATGCAGAGCCGCGCCCCCCTGCTCGGGGATCTGATCACCTGTTACAGGCTTTCATGATAAACAGCAAACTTGTCAATGACTAAAAGCCATAGTGGGAAGAGGGTAGGTAGAAAACACCAGCCCTAGAAAAAGTGTCATCAAACCTTCAAAATAAAACGGGCTAAACTGAATCAGATTTTCAGAAATCAGTGACAAAATAGAGACATTTCTGCTCAGGGCATGTGAGATGCATGAATTTGTAGCATTCAGCTGGTAAACCTTCGTATTTGGCCTGAGTATTGATGCAACAGCAGTTCCATTCAGACCACTGCACTGAACACAGTTTCTGGGAAGGCAGAGGCAGAGAAGGGCCACCTAAGCAAGCTGAGCAGTCCTGCAGAAAGCAGTCACGCTTCAGCAATCAAGGTAATTACGGGTCTTCCTCAAACAGAACCCGAGGTGCACAGCTGTGCGCCCCTGCACGCACACCAACAAGCTGCAAGGGAGGATGATCCCCGGCCGCTCTCCACAGCCCAGGCTGGGTGCCGGCCTCTGGATGCACACGACCTGGGCTCGGGGAGGGGTGGAGGGCATGGCGGGAGAGGCAGCGGGTCAGACCACTTTGTCAGTGTTTGCTTCCGCGGCCTTTCCTTCCCAGCCAGGTGTAAGCAGGTCACAGCATGCGGCGTGTGAGCGCAGGGGGTTCCTCAGCACGACGCAGTGCAAGCGCGGGCCTGGCGCGAAACACGGATCCCGCGCGTGCTCCACCTCAGCTCTATGGTCCACGACTGTGACACATGGAAAATGTGAAATTCCAATTACTATGCCCACATGTTTCAGGGAGACGCAGCCACATTCATTCCTTTAGGTCCTGCCCCTGGCAGCTCGGGGCCACGGAGGACAGCGTGTCCCCCACGTGGCCCACAAAGCTGGAAATATTCACTACGTGGCTCTTATGGGAAAAGTCTGCTAAGAACTGAATTTAAAGAGCCAAGCATACTGTTATTGTTCCTACTGGTTTGCCTCTTCTTTGGGGGAAAATAGGCATTAACACAGGCCTCTGCACAGACCTTACCGTAAGGCATGACCCGCACAATGCATACCAAGAACACGAACTTATCCCATTACTGCACCCACATGGAAAACACTGAGAACGGATGTCATTCGATTCTTTTAGAAGGTACCATGAGGCTCTCAGGGAACCCTTGTAAGGTCGACGGTGGCCTCCAAGGGGGTGATATGCTTATATAATACCTAATAAATGGGGCAAGGGTCAAATAGGCAAGAATCAGCTGGGAGGAAATATACTTTTCATGATTTTTTAGAGAGAAAAAGTAATGGCTGGCAACTAGATATTTACCCACTCTCTGTTATACTGTGTATGGACTTAAACACAGAAAAGACAGCATAGATTCAACTTTTAAATATCATCAATCACAGTTAAATAACTTTATGCAAATATTTCTTCATAAAAAACCAAAATGTTACTCTGAAATTTTTATAATCCTCCGCACGTCCTACCCCAGCCTCCCTAAAAATTCCACAAAAAGGCAGAAAAAGCAACCAGGCTGCGCGGGAAGAGAGCTTCCTTCAAGCTGCAAAGGCGTCAGAAACGTTTCCGCTCTTCAACAGACTTACGAAGGAAACACCGAGAGTAAAATACAAAAAGGGAGGCTTTCTTTGTGTACACAAGTCATCAGAATGCCAGTGCTGGCGAGTCCTTGGTGTAACAGAAGAGTAATAAAAAGATATGATTTTTATATTGCAGTTAGGCACACATGTAACTGTTACATGGAAATGACACAGAAACGGCCCCGCCCTGCAGGTTCGTGATGCGTCCACCTGCAGAGAGCTCTGAAGCCTGCCAATCCACGCGGCTCCACAGCCAGTTAACCAAGCAGCTCTGTAACTAACACTTCTCCGGAGGACACTTTCATCAGCAGGGCACCAACTTTCTGATTCTTTCGTAAGTGCCACCAGATCTGCGAGGCCAGTGAGGAACGCAGACCTCACTGCCTCGCGTTCCCACCAAGACCTCTGCCAGCCACAGCGCCTGTCTGTCCTGCTGGAAGCGGGCAGGCGAGGTGACGGCCAGAGGCCTCTGCTGAGGGTCCGGAGGCCGCTGCCCCACAGCATTCCTTGCGTTTGTCCTTTCTCCATGGAGCCCCTGGGGAGGCAATGACTTTGCTGGCTCATGCACTGTAAAATCACGACTTTGTCACAGCATTTGATTTGGTGAAATACTGCTATGAAATTCAGTGTTCAATGTCTGATATCACTCACAATTTGGAATATTTCCACACAACACCTACTATCCGTGGTTACTTTATTAAAAAAAAAAAAAAAAAAAGATCACTGCCTTCAAAACCAAACCAAACCCTGAAGATCTTTTCCCTTGAGGCTTACCAAAAGCAAAGTTCCCTGAGAAGGCGTTCCCTCTGCTGCTGCTTGTCCCCCCCCCCCCCCCGCCCCGGGAAAGTCTTCATTCCAACCCACCAGCAAGTACAAGAGGTGTCACTGTGCCCAGAACGAAATGCCACAGACTCTGACAAGAGAAACATGAAGTGCCACACAGCACAAATCTGCTCCTGACTCAGGGTGTTGCGGAAGGGCTGGGGAGGGCGGTGACAGAGGCAGGCACAGAGGACGTGCCCCAGGAAGGCACACAGAATTCAAAGATCCACATATAAATAAAGCAGACACGTGGCCTTAAGCCTACACACTCTCACATCTGCGTATTGCGTAGGAGTCCCCCTTTGCCTTCATACATTATCACTCCATCAAGCATCGCTGGTGCTGATGGCACTCAATTTAGCATAAGTTAACTCACTAAAGCATAAATTCAGTCAATACTGGTGATGTTTTACTGTCTGAAAGAACTGGGAATAAGTTAGGAAAGCTTACTCCTATGCTTAATTTTAAATAAGTGGATTTTTAAAACAGCAAATGAATTCAAAATACTCTCTGCTATGGTTCTCAAAAACAATTAGCCAGTGGCACTGTACACATTTGGGCATCGCTTGCTCAGAAGGGCCCCAGGGGAGCATGAAGATAAACACTGAATTAGAAATGGAGACGATATTTCAATCAATGACACCGGACCAGGTCTCTCGCTTAAGGATTTTAATAGGATACAGTTAATGATTTCTCACTGTGACTCCCCATGGGGTTAAAGCACAGGTTAAAATGCCAGTTCAGGCCGGCGCCGTGGCTCAATAGGCTAATCCTCCACCTTGCGGCGCCGGCACACCGGGTTCTAGTCCCGGTTGGGGCGCCGGATTCTGTCCCGGTTGCCCCTCTTCCAGGCCAGCTCTCTGCTATGGCCAGGGAGTGCAGTGGAGGATGGCCCAGGTGCTTGGGCCCTGCACCCCATGGGAGACCAGGAAAAGCACCTGGCTCCTGGCTCCTGCCAGGATCAGCGCGGTGCGCCGGCTGCAGCGGCGGCCATTGGAGGGTGAACCAACGGCAAAGGAAGACCTTTCTCTCTCTGTCTCTCTCTCTCACTGTCCACTCTGCCTGTAAAAAAAAAAAAAAAAAAAAAAAAAAAATGCCAGTTCAATGGCCTTCAAAAAAGTCTCTTAGTAATCTTCAAAAGCAGAATATAACACATGAAATATAAGCATGTACTTTTTCTGAATTCTCTCTTTAACTTGACCTAATTTTCTCAGGGGCAGTGACTCCTTGTGCAGGTGTGTTATTAATGTTAGTATTAGTATTAGTTTTAGCTTTAGTATTAGTGTCAGTATCAGGAGGAGGGATCTGCTGTCACTGGTCAATGTCACCACATGTATAAGCTCTGCAGTGAAATCTGGCTGAAACAACACACAAAGCAAACCTGCACATGCAAATATTTCTAAATATTTGCCATAACCGCTCCATTGAAAACCATCTGACCTAGCTATTAAAATTTAGCAATGAATTC